AACCTTGAATTCTTGAAGACTAGAACCATTGATCATTATCGAGAGTTTTCTCAAGTGACTCCCGTCATTTGGGATGTAATTAACTATAGGGGCTTGCCTCTATAGGGAACTTGGAACCCAGGTAAAATAAACCCTATTTAATCTTTGTATTAAATAGGGGAATTTGTCGGTCATATATAAAAGGTTCGCAGACTAAATGGATGTCACAAATCTCGTAGTTTGCAGGATTGGGTCTATCGCCGAGGTCTACACTTATCTTTCGGGAAGGTGTAGTATTCGCGGTATCAGGCACGATTATGCAAACTATTGGACTAATGAGATCCATTGGGTCTCATTTTTTTTAAAAAATTAAAACACCTACTTTCGAAACCCAAACTATATATATCTTTTATATTTAAATTAAATTTCAAAAATTATTTTTATATTTCATATTTTCAAATCTATATCTATCGAAAAAGTTGACCGACACCAGCATGTCCTAAAAATTATGATATGAGACCTAGAACCATTTCCTAAAAAAATGAGATAAAGAAATTCGAAGCAAGCAAATCACTCAAATATGATGTGTCCATATGGTCGAACAATCACCTCAAAGAAAATTAATGCAAATAATTTTATGTTCTGATGAATTATATGCTTTGAGAATTGATCATGTTGAAGGAATTTAAAATTTTAGGTTTGTTTTGAGGCATTTTTAATTAGCAAATTTTCTAAAATATTGATGCAATCATGCAACACAATTCAATCTTTAATGATTTTTTTTTTTTTGGATAATTACATACGGCACAAGAAACATTGCTATTTACAAATCAAGCGCCTAGGTGATTTTTTTGAGTTATGAAACCAATGCATTTGCACATGCCACAATCAAACCAGTGTGAATTTGTTAAAAATGAATAAAACAGGTTGGGGTTTTATCATGATCTTTGATATTTATGTGAGAATTTGAAAAATGAATAAAAAAGGGTGCTTGTTTTGTAAATAGCCATGTTTCGGGTGCCCTGTATGTAATCCCCCTTTTTTTAAATTATTATAACAAGAAATAAAAAATAAAAGCAAAGTCATTATTAGTCTAATCACATTCATCATAGGAATGAATCAATAGATAGATGATTCATCGTGTGTTACATTCTCATATTTCTCAATTAGTTTATTAATTATTATAGACATGATTGGTTCAATTTCATATTTAGGCATAGGTTTAATCTCTATTACAAGTTCGAGTTTTTATATGATATCATACTCAATTTTGCTTTCAAACTGTAATTCTTATATCATTAAAGATTTTAATTCATGAATATGGTCTAAAATAGATGTGCATTGAAATGCGACAATAGTAAAAAAAAAATCTAATGGCAACTATAGATATTTATATATTTTATGTTCAAAAGAATATTCAGGACTTCAAATTTTGTAATAAGATTAGATCCAATTATGTGTGATTCTTATATAGGTGTGTGTATGTTAGGCTTCAGTGGAAATGATATTTTATTTTTATTTATGGACATTAATTACAGTGTGATAGTCCTAGGAGAGTGATTGTAGTGTTTCCCAATATTCGTGGATCTGTTAAAAGTCTCATATAGGATTTGGGATAAATTGTAGCTAAATCTATACTTGATCTCTTACTTATATTTTTAATGAATTGCATTTTGGTAACAAGATAACCTTCAGGCAAATAACATTTATTAACGTGGCTCATAGTCCTATCATAATATTCATTCACATTGGAATAACTTAGAAACGATTACCTATATTTATGAAATGACAAAAATTATTTTTAAATTTTATGTCTAAGTCAACCCATCTAGGCTCATTTTTACTTTTAGCGCGCTCCACTAAAATATTTGAGAATGTCTCATTAGTTTTCTTTTAGCACATTTAAGTCTTCAAAAATTTTTAAGCATTTCAAGGTTTCAATACATTTAGAAAAAATCTTAAAATTTTGCTTCTCATTGTATATAGAAATTTAATTTTGATTCTCATGTTAATGATGGTGTGTTCACTAGGAATCATAACTTACTCGATTTTGTTTAAATTGCATCATTTTATTATTATTCATTGTTACAAGTACTCCCCTACTTGTCATTGATACGATGGTGCAACCATATTCTGTAATACTAATTTGATGTAAGAAATATAAAGTATGAATTCTAATGCAACTAGGATAATGCAATGAATGTTGGTAAAATAAAAAAAACCTTGATTTGCATTCCGAAGACCACTAAATTCACGGAAATTTGCTTTATTGAGCTGTAATTTAGAAAAAATAATAATTTAAATCAATAATGTAATGCAGCAATCAATTAATTTCGAAGAATGAGAAAATTAGTAAGAAAAATAAAATGCCGCAATTGAAATCAAAATAAACATTGCCTATAACAAAATACTAAACATTGCCCATAACAAAATACTAGAGTAGAAATTAGAAAAAGGAAATTAGCTGTCAAGTAGAGAGAATTAGGCCTTACGCTAGGCTCAAAGGAATCCAAACTCAAGCAGTACTCACAAGCTTAGAAGTTAGAAAATTATATATATATCTAGATAGTACATACATACCATACAATTCTTATGTATTTGTATTTCTTCTAACACCTTTAGTGCATAAAGCTATGCATGAAAAGGTGTATATCACTTTCAAGGAGCAAGTAATAGTGGTTTTTTTTTTTTATGAAATGTTAAAGATTTGAGTTCTATATATATGTAAATATGAAAGTTTAGGTGTCAGATATGTAAATACACAAGAATCGTGTGGTATGTAAATACCCCCTTTTTTTTCATGGTAACGGTGCTCTATTTGTTTCTTGATTAAACAGTTTATTTCTGGCACAGACTTTTGCTGGAACACAGAATATCTCCGGTTTACAGAAAGATGAAGCTTGGAGGGTTAATGTGCGGATTCAAGGATGTGATCTTGATAATGGTTATTTATGTGGTACTATGGAGGCACTTAATGTTCCACTAGCAGACACTCCTGTAAGTTCTTTGCTACATTTAAATCACAATTTTCTAGATAATAATTTTGGGATCAGAAGCATTTTTATTGTATGTTTGCTTCCCAGTCTCATTTGTTTCAGCTGCACATTTATTTATTATTAGAGGCATTTACATGCATATCACACAATTTCAGTATATTTACATATCTCACACCTAAACTTTAATCTTTACACACAGCACTCAAATATTTAATATCACATAACAAATTGCACCATTACCACTTTTAAAATGTGAAATACACATTTTCATACATAAGTTTAAAACATCAAAGGGCTATGTATGTAAATATGAAAGTTAAGGTGTGAGATATTTAAATACATATGATTTGGGTGCTTGGTATGTAAATTTCCCTTATTATTAAGCCTCTGATCTTCATTCATTATTGTTGGCATACATTAAGGTTGTTACTTTTTGGGAAGGAGAGTTAATTGATGCCAAGAACTACACATTTTACACTGGCAAGTGGAAAGCAACGTAAGCCTCTCATCTGTCTGGTTGTTTCCTGCTTAATAAGCGTACAGTAATTTGGCTGACTATTTCTACTTTTTTTAATACCGTGCTAATTTTGTTTTTTGAGGCATGAGTGTTAGAACTTTTATTTTTTTTATATATTTAATTTTTAAGTAGACTAATCTTTCCATATTGACAGACCAGATGAAGACATAAAACATTGGTCCAAGTTTCCATGCTTTAGTCCACTTCTGGTACAAGAAAATTTCTATAATATTGAAAATGTTTCAACCCATGAACCAAATGTTAGCATTTTTTTTTAATCTCAGAGTCAAGTAGAAGCAGATGGGGGCAAGTCATTGGACCTGAGTAACTATCCCTTCGTGTTTATGGTATAATAGCTGTAATATTTTCTCATTTCTTATGTTGTTATTATAAAGTTTGTCCGATAATATCTTGTTATATGTGCAGAGATGGAAAGAGCAGTACTTTGTAAATGTCGGAATAGATTGTGGTTTGACAATAGCTGGTTTTTACTATGTGTGTTTTTCATGTAGTGATGGCTCCATTAATGGCTTCTATTTTGATCCAAACAGCAGGTAAATTTTATCACCTGAATGATAATCTTCTAAGGGTTTTCAAACATAGTATATGCTTGTTTGAATGATGCAGTGGAAAGTTCTACTGGAAAGTGTGAAATTTCTCAAGTTAACAAAAAGTATATATAGTTTTTGTGGCCTAACTATTAAGCAGGTGATTTATGTTTTGATTGTGGCAGTTGTTTTGAGAGTTAATGAGCTGCTTAGTCTAACAATTATGAGACAAGGTTAAAATTTATAAAAGCAGAAATCCAGATTTTTTGGAAACAGTCAATCGCTTTCTAGAGTAATATTTTATAGATTTTTTACTTTTCGATATTAGCATTCAATTGATTAATTTAATTATAGGCTGATTATGATTATAATGTCATATTATAATTATATGAAAGCAATAATTCATCATACTATCAAACCATTTTAGTGATAATAATTATACAAAATATTACATATTGATGATGGTGACAAATTTAATAACTTAAACCTACCAAATATATTATCTCACGCCCAACGATACAAGTCGGAATGTAAAATTTACCATCTTGAGGCTTTGATTTCTATGGCTCCACCATCTTGAGGCTTTGATACCGTCTTTATCTGCATATCACCGTCCACTTCCCACAATCTATCTGCATATCACCAAATTAAATCACATTACATATAGTTTCTATCGGGCTTTCGCAAGGCTTTATCTTCAATTTTTGCCCATGTTTGTCCGCTCAAGCAAGCCATTTTTGAGCTTAGACAAGTTCTACATCAACGGTATACCACTTTATCATCTTACTTGAAACAAGATAGGTTTCATTTGTAGCTCCATTAATCCATCTTTAACTCTCTACAACTCTCAAAATATCCAGCTTTATTTTCTCTTTTGTGTTTGTTCCAGTTGCAATATAAATACAAAATGCTCCATTTTTTCTCCTGTTCTTTATTTGCTCATTGCGCCGCATGAAATTTGTGATATATTATTCACGCATAACTCATTTTTGTTTCCTGATATTATTTCTGCAGTCCATTTCAGAAGCTGGAACTAAAATCTACAAACGAGGGACTTTCAGGTTTCACATTTTCATCCTACCAGCTCCAATGAACAATACTTTATAATCAGGATTTTTAATGTATGTTGGCTCTGTTGCTACATTTGGCCTTTTATGTAAATCTCTTTAATTCCAGCTCTTCTTTCCAGAAGTTGTACTCTTTTTCCTCTTATTTAAAGGAGGTTTTTAATGAGTTTAGCTCAAGTGAAGTTTTTACATTTAAGATTAATAGTGGGTGGTTTTGATCAATATTGTTATTGTAGTTAGTATCATGATTTAATGTTGAAATATTTATGATGTTTGAAGTTTATCCATCAAGTTCAGTCCTCTGTTTCAAATGATATCATTTCTTGTAATTGTGAGTAGAAATGCAATATAATGGAAATGAACAGTGGAAGATATCTTTTATGTTGGATGTAAACTAGTCATAAGATGTGCAAGTTGTTATCTAATAATAGTGGATGGTTGCATATGTCAATCATGATTAAAGTAGCAATAAGATGAGCGTTGAATGTTGGTCATAAGCAAACATCAAATGATCAAGAAAGCATACTTTGAATGTTGGCATTAAATGTTAAACTTATAGCAACATTCAATGATTTATTCAGTTATTCGGCATTGGTCATCGGTGGCTCACATATGTCGAGCGTTGATAGGTATCAGACAATGATCATCTTAAAACATTAGATGTTGAGATCCATATTTATCTAAGCTTTTGTGCTGACATATCAAATCTGGAAACACAACCATTTGGTCAGAAATGAAATTTACAATATAGTTTTAGAATTCATTGTCAAAATTTTGAAATTAAATTGCATTATAAATTTATGCTTAGCAATTTCTGAAAGTTCAAAAATTGTTTCTGCAATACTAGAGTAGGGCTGTCAAAAAAGTTCGTTGTTGCAAACAGGTCGTGTTCGGCTCGTTCGTTAAGTAAACGAGCCGAACACGAACAGCTCTTTTTTGGCTCGTGTTCGGCTCGTTTTAGCTCGAAATAAAAAATATATATAATTATTTATATAAAAATATATTACACATATTATTTATATAATGATATATTATATATATTTATATCTATGTTTAAATTGTAATTGCTCTTATGATAATGTGGTTAGCCGTCTTGTTTTGTATACATTTGATTCAGGTTCAAATCCAGCACTCTGCATCTATTTTTTCAATTTAATTTTAACGAGGAAATTTCGAGCTGAACACGAGCCGAACACGAACACACTGTTCACGAGCCAATTTCAAACACAAACAATTTCGAACGAGCCGAACACGAGCCAAGTCTGAACTCACTTAAGCTCGGCTCTTTTATAGCCCTGTACTAGAGTTCCATATTGATAAACTTAATTATAATCCAATTATCTTTATTTACATGATTTATCATCTTGAAATCATAGTAAAATGAAGATTTGTATCAACAACGTTTTGATCTCAATACAAATTAAAGAGTTTCCTTTGTTTGTTTGTATTTTCATAAGGGATTAATGCATTTCTATATATAAAAAACCTCAATTTGTCAATTGTTTTTGACAATATTAATAGGTTATCATACGGCAATTTAACTGATAATTGTTATACAGCCTTTTATTAATTAAGTAATTAATTAATTAATGAACATTAAGTGATTTAAATCACCTTCTTTCATTAAATTTACCTCATTCTATTATGGAAACTATTTGATAAACAAAACTTCATAATACTCCATTATCAATTTTAAAATAATTCTGAAATCAAGAAACGAATAGCGATCGGCCCTAACTTGTTTGGGATCAAATTTATATTCTACTTTATTGTATTTAATATATTTTCTTACATGTTTATATTCATATTCTTAAAAACAAATTAGTTGAGTTTATATTTTCTTACATGTTTATATTCATATTTATGTGTGCGCCGGGTGTAGTTGAGTTGATGACAGCTATATGTGAGTCCCCTCTCGACCCGGATTCGAATCCTCGACTAGACAAGATTCAAATTTGCACATGGGATTGGTTGGTGGGGGTCAGCTCCTCGTCCAATCCTTTGATTTATATAAATAAGCAAACCAATTTGGTAATTAAATTAATTAACTTCAATCAAAATAATGGTAAAATTGTGATGAATCCCGGTTTCATCTATATGTGAATGAAGAAGCCATAACTGGAATAAAAAGGACGACTGCATTCTTATACTGAGATGACAGATCGAGTGCCAGAGATTGGTTTATGTATCATTTAGAAGCCATGCAAACTATACATATAATACACACATATTCTCTCTCTTCTCTCTCTCTCTCTCTCTCTCTCTATATATATATATAATGTATATAATAAATGAGGGTGATGGATTCACGCTAACACGAGCATTTAACCCAATTCATGAGGAGAGACCTCTCCGATTTTAAAGCATCTACTTTACCCATTTGCTCTTCTTTCTTCGCAACCACATTCCTATGCGTTAGTTACACTAGCTTTCCCCCACACGAGAGACGTCGCCTTGCTTAATTATTCTTTTCTTATCAACTCATTATTAAAAATAAAAACTAAAATTGCATGCATGCCCTCATTTAAACGTCTGCATGCAAATTTCCTGTTTGCAAGATGAGTTCTTGCAAAGATCGCTCTTTTATATATCGTTTCAGAAAACGTATGTTTTTATCATTCTGAAAAGATTAATGGAGAGCTGCAGTTCTCTTCTTTGCTATGAAGAGCTACTTACTCCGACTCCTAAATCTTCTTTTTCAGTTCATTTTAAAGACAGTAAAGAAGCGATTCGGCGCCATTGTCATTTGGAAGAATTCTCAGTAATTCCTTATTGGAATGACGAAGAATTCTCTAATTTCTTTCAGAATTGTTTGCAGAGAGAGCACAAATATGTAGCTCTTGATGGTTATATTGACCGTATTCAGTCTTCTGATGAGCTACGTGGTGCAAGATTCAGAGGCCTGCACTGGATTTTACCGGTACATATATATATATATGTTGATTCATTCTTTAAGCAATATCTGTGTGTTTTAAGTGCTTCAGTCAATAAGTTTTCTTTACAGGCAGGGCTGAGGCTCAGTCTGAGACATAAAACAATTTTTGCTGCTGTAAATTATTTGGATCGATTTCTCTCTGCGAGCCGTCCATCTGTAAGCATTTTTAACAGTCATCAAGATGATCAATTTATCAGCTGATTAAGATCTTAATTGTGATTTAATTTGTTTAATTTTTTTCAGATAAATTGGGAGATGTGGATAGTAGAACTTATATCAATAGCTTGTTTATCAATTGCTTCCAAGTTTGAGGAAGTCTGCCATCCTACCTTTGATGAATTTCAGCAG